GGATCAGAAATGGACAGATTGAGCACAATTTAATACTTTCTGCAAGTTGCTTTTGCGCGTTTGACATGGGTCTTCGTCCACCATGCCTGCAATTCTTCGTCTTCGTACTTTTGGCCGTCTAGACACGCTCTTTGTCCTCACATCAAAATCACCAATTTAAAGCGTCGAAACTATTCTCTGCATGTTTATATCGGAAGGAGCATTTATCACCATAAAATTCTTACAAGCATTAGGATGAGCTTCAGCTGCAGTTTTCTTCCAATTGAAGCAAAAGATTAACACTTCGCGCAAATACGCTTATTTGGCTCAAATTTCGACATTTTTGATGCAGTGAAAAAACAATGTTATTGATGCAAACGTATACTTTTATGTACTGAATGTTATTGACAGATGTCAAAAAAACTATTAAGCTCCGTTTAGACATTAGAGGTTAACGACGTTTTAGCTATAGCTACTTGTCGCTAGCCATACAGCACAGATCATTATAATTACATTGCCAAAACGTTGCAACATTGCACATTGCAATACAATATGTAAAGAGATATACAGATTCGAAAAATACCAGCATACTTTAGCAACATTACAGTAATATTAAAGAAACATTGCAAGAGCAAAATTGAATATACAACAATATATTTTAATAATAAAATACTTTCATCCGGGTGGAGTTTACGAACGCGGCCCAATATGTTAATCACAACACTTAACATGAATTCATATTAGCCCGGGAACACAAATAATGTAATAAGTTTTAAGCCTTAAGGAATTATCCAATCCCAGTCGACTTTTATAAGAATAATCGAATGAGGTTAGCCAAATTCTCAAGGCTCAAAACTTACTACACCTATTGTGTTCCCGGCCTTAAGTATTAGAGGATCCCTATTTCGAGCTATTGCGAATACAGCGATTCCGTTGTGATTAACGTATGCGTGCTTCCAATTATTTCGAAGAAAAAAGGAAAGAATAGTGATTCTGAACAATGATCCACAGTGTTTGTTGCTGCACAAAAGAAAAAGGTAAGCACATTGTCTATTAATGATAATACCCATACAGCACAAATCATTGCAACAACATTGCAGCAACGTTGCAACGTTGCAAATTATAATACATATTACGAAGACATTGCAGAGATATAGATTCGCAAAATACCTTCCCACACAGCACTCAGTCGACTATTAATTGACTGTCAGTCGGCAGAAGAGGTCTAAAGTCGACTTTAAAGTCAGACTGAATGCCAACTTGTAGTCGACTAAAGGCTCGTCTACATTAGCTGTAAGAATAAGGCTGTAAGGTTGCAAGACACGAAATGAAATATTTTCATTCGCTGACAGCTTACGTTACAGCTTTACAGCCTAAAATAGACCAATCATAATCGACTATTACGAGAATAATCTATTGTGATTGGTCTATTTTTATTCTTATTGCCTGTTGTCTGGCATTGTGCAAGGGGCTTTACTCTTACAGCTATTGTAGACGAGCCTTAACAGTCAACAAATGACTCGATTATAGACTACGTTTATACGGCTTCTAACTTCGACTTAGTAACGCTAATGTTATAACTCCTACTTAAGGTAAGTTGCGTTTACACATTTACGCTTATCTATTTGAAATAACTTAATAACTTTCGAGTGAATCAAGGATTTCCATTAGTACCAATATAAAAGGCCGAAAAATGAAATGATTATGATTGTAGTCTAAATATAAAAGAATTAGAATATGAAAAGAATAATATGTAAATAAATCAACAAATAAAGTGAACTTTAGGTTTATTATGAATTTGAAAATTATAAAATATGTATATATCTATATAGTAAAATTTATATAATAAAAATATAATATTTAACTAAAAAATGAAATTAAAATTTTAGGTTATCAATTTTGGAAAAAATTAATCATGGAAAATATGGAAAGCGTACGCCCGTTTGTTGCTATATATTTGAAAACAGTAGAAATATGACGATGCAATATATACTATATGTACGAAATATTTTGATTAAACGGCGAAAGCGTCAGAAAGAAATTATATTACAACATTTATTGAATTTAACACCACTAAATCATTTGCTTGATCTCGGACCCGTATTACAATTTTCACGACATAAATCAATTTTACAATCAAGTTAAGGTGTTCAATTTTATATTGGTATTATTGTCATATTTACACTGCGTCGTTTACACGTCTTCCTTACGTCGATGTAGAACTCTAAAGCCCTAAAACACAATGCCAGGCAACAGGGCAATAAGAATGAAAATAGGACCAATCACAATAGATTATTCTTGTAATAGTCGATTGTGATTGGTCTATTTTTATTCTTATTGCCTGTTGCCTGGCATTGTGCAAAGGGCCTAAGCCTCTTCACCAAATGACTTTGAGTTACTACATCAATGTAATAACTTCGTCGTAAAGGGAGTGTTTACACGGCATCTAACGTCAGTAGTTGTAAGATCGATGTTATAACTTTGGCGTAAATTGGGTTGTGTAAACGTAGTCAATAAAGCTAAGACTCCATGCATGCGGTGAACTGCGGCAATGCTGCGGTGGACCAATCAGGAGGGAGACGCAAGTCCGGTTGCGGCAAGCTCCGGCATGCGTCTGTCTCCTGATTGGTCACCGCAGCCGTTTGCCGGAGCTCACCGCATGCATGGAGTCTTAGCTTAAGTAATCATATTATTATTCTTCTCACTTCAACTGTGATTGGTTAATATCTTACTGTTATGACCTAAGTCTCTCTATTGTGGATGGCCCTTCATGTTCTGTGTGAATATGTATGCGTCCGGATGTGACTTCCGGTCGAGCGTTGAAAAAGAATCGACCCGCGAACACGACTCCGAATTGATGTGTTCTATGTCCGTTCCTGTTAGCATATTCCATTCTTATTTTAATAAGTTAATTCTTAAACTACATTTGTAAGATACCTACAATGATTTTCGCATTGTGCAAGAAATTGATTTTCGGATAATAACGCAATATTTCAATAGTCTCCCTACGGAAATATAAATGAGGTTAACACAATTTATAACATTCTTATTTTAATAAATTAATAAAAAATAATCATTTGCAATATAAGACGAGCTCCTTTTTATGGTAATTGCAGAAAATGTTCCGCAATAATAATATAACAATAATAAATAAAACATACAAATAATATATTAAGTTTGTGTGTATGTTTCCAGCGTTGTTTATTTAAAATGACAGGTACTTATTGAGAAAATGTAATACAATCTTAATCATGAAAGTATTTTCCTGACTCTGTAGCCCATAAATCTCTCTAGGCCACTCTAGCCCATAAATCAGGTAATCTTCACATTCTTTGCACAAAAGATTGTGGCTTAAAGGCGATGAAGTTGTCGAAGCAGTTTTTGTTATCATCGACGTTTGCAAAGCACTGCCCACAAAGTGTGTGCTGTAGGAACCTAAACAGATGATAATCTGAAGAAACGAGATCAGTTGAATATGTTGCATGTGAAAGAACTTCTCACCTTAGGTCGAAAATTGTTTGTTTTGTCGATAAAACGATATGGGGATGAGCATTGTCATGCAGCAGTATAACCTGTTGCGTTCCTTGGCCAGTAAACAATCGTTTCTCTTCCATTTTCTTGCTCAGAGCAATTGCCGAGCGCAACAGCAATCACTCCATTTTAGTAAGAAAAAATATTTGATAATAAATATACTTTGATAATTAGATTGTATTACATTTTCTCAATAAGTCCTGTCATTTTCGATAAATAACGCTGGGAAACTTATTCACACCTGATAAATGATAACAATAAGTAGACTGTGTATACTAGTATAGTATATATTTGTTTTTATGATATTTTTTAATGTTTAGAATATTAATATTTACAGCTGAATGTAGAATGGCGGATGATAAGAGACAGAAACAAATTCGTTTCTATTCAGATAAACATAACCGTCGTCTCATACAACAACAAAATGAAGCTGATGTATACAGAATTTTTGGTGCATTAGAAAATCTGCCACCATCATTTATCCCTATCCAAACGATTAATCCAAGTGGAAATGAGAGATTGATTCATACTAGTGATCAAATATTGGAACATAGTGAGTATGACAATGTTGATTATGACATATTGCACTGCAGGATAAATATATAATATTTAAGTGTATAGTATATACAGGGTGTTTGAAAGCTTATCATGCAGACGAAAGTTGGAAATAGATTGGGTGTAGCCGAGAAGAAAAGTCATGTACCATAATGACAAATTGGCAATAGTTACCGAAATATTAATTTAAACATGTGAGCCAATGAGTGCGTAGAGAGCGCTGGGTGGCCGCCTCTTGTCGCTTATGTTGCCCCTCGCCGCACGCGCTCGCCTATCGCCACTCGTTGACTCCGCCTGTATCAAATGTCTACGTGCTTACTGCGGCCGCCCTCCGCTCTCTACGCGCTCGTTGGCTCACATGTTTCAATTAATAACTCGGTAACTATTGCCAATTTGACATTATGGTACATGACTTTTCCTCTCGGCTACACCCAATCTATTTCCAACTTTCGTCTGCATAATAAGCTTTCAAACACCATGTATATAGTACATAAGTATATATAAATATATTAATACAATAAATATTAATAATATATGCTTGTATTGAGATGCATAAGTATAGTAATTTAGTAAATTAGAATAATTGATACTTATATTTAACATAAAAAAGAACACAATAATAATGACGTTAATATGCAGTAATAATGAATAAAATAATATTTAAAAATACATTAAAATTTTTACATTATATAATATAATACTATTTTTATATATAATTATATGTATACAATTATAAATGTTATATACAATTTTATATAAAAATTATAAACAAATTTTACATACAATTATAAATAAACAGTGTTTAAAATTATTTTTTATAAAACTGAAACGTAAAGACAAAATGATAATTAATATATATACATATATATGTAATTTTTTTTTATTATGAGTTTAAAATTTTAGCTTATACGTACATTTAATCATTGGTAAACAAAGATGTATTGTATATTTTACAGATGATATACATGAGGTATTAAATAATGAAAACGATGACTCTGACTGCAATAGCAGTATTCATAGTTATGAATATCCAAATTTCAATTCAAGTGACGATAATGAAACAGAAGCATCAGATATAGAGTCGATTGAGGATGAAGCAGAGAATGATGATGAAATTATGATTAATGATAACTTCATACAAGATATTGCTACATGGATGAGACAATTCAAAACATCACAGAAGCCAAGGTTGATTTATTGAGAATTTTAAATTTACATACTAATGTAAAATTTCCAAAGGATCCACGAAAACTTCTCCATACTCCTACATCTACAGATGTTAAAGAAATGTGTCAAGGACAATACTGGCATAGTGGTTTAAGAAATGCAATAATAAATATTTTGAATAAAAGGCAATATTTACAATTTACATTTAGATAATAAAACAGTTAATCTCTTCATAAATGTTGATGGTGCACCTCTTGATAAATCAACGCAAAAATGTCTGTGGCCTACATTATGTTCAGATGACATTATTAAAGAAGTTCATGTTGTCGGTATCTACTATGGAGGAGGAAAACCGAGTGATGCGAATAAATTTTTAGAATCATTTATAGATGAAGCGATTTCATTAATTAATGAGGGTATTGATTTTAATAATAATAATTATAAAATACGAATCAAGGGAATGATATGTGATTCACCAGCTAAGGCGTTTATTTTAATGGTTAAAAGTCACAGCGGCTATGAGAGTTGTACAAAATGTTGTATTCATGGAGATTACATTGAAAACACAATATGTTTTCCAGGATTTTGCGATGTACTTAGAACTGACGAAATGTTTAAAAACTTTAATTATAATTTAGATTATCAAAATAAAGAAACCAAGCTCATAAACATACCGTACTTTGAATTGGTATCTAACGTTCCGTTAGATTATATGCATCTGGTGTGTCTAGGAGTGATGCGTAAGTTAATTCAGCTTTGGTTAAACGGACCAATCAATAAAAATGTACGATTTCAGTCCAACATTGTGCATGAAATTTCTAATGCGTTAACAGATTTTGTACAATTTATACCATCGGATTTTAACAGAAAACCAAGAGCTCTGAAATACTTAAAATATTGGAAAGCCACGGAATTTCGTTTATTTTTATTATACTTGGGACCAGTAATTTTACGTAAACATTTAAGAAAAGATTTATACAATCATTTCCTAGAATTATATGTCGCTATTACTATCTTAGCTTCACCAGTTCTTTCTCTTCATGATGTAAATGTATCTTATGCGGGACAATTATTAAATCATTTTGTTTCGAGTTTTGAAACATTGTATGGTAAAAGATATATCAGTCATAATGTGCATAATTTGCAACATATTGCAGCAGATGTTAAGAAATATGGAGCCTTAGACAATTTCAGCGCATTTCGATTCGAAAATTTTATAGGAACATTGATAAAACTTGTGAAAAAGGGTGAAAAACCACTCCAACAAATTTCCAGAAGATTGAAAGAGTATGAATTAACGTCGCAAAAGAAAATAAAAATTTCTGGAAATTTAATCAGATTGGAACAACGCCATTATAACGGTATTATGCGTCAAAATACGTTCTTTTTAAAACAATATAAAGAAATGTACAAAGATATTTTTACGTTTGTATTACAGATAATAAGAATAATTGCTGTTTATTAGATGATGGCTCTATTGTTGAAGCGCTAAATTTTGTTCTTCATGATAATATACCATATGTTATTGGTAGAGAATTTGTGAAATTAAAAAGTTTATATGAATATCCTATGAGTTCATCTGATTTTTCAATCCACGTGTGTAAAGTAAATGATGTTCTTTTATCATGGCTATGTTCATTTATAAGGGCCAAATTACTAAAATTACCTAAAAATAATAAAAAAGCACATTCCGTTATCATTTTTCCTATTCTGCATACTAAAATTAATTATATGTAAGATTTATCTTTTGTAAATAAAACTTTTGTAATTTTAACTTTTTAATAAAATATATGTACATTAAAATCTGTATTTTTAATTTTATTGCTTATTTCATCTACACTTTTATTTTATTATTATTTACTAAATATAGAAAACTATGTTTTTATATCAAATTTGCATGGTTTTTCATGATAAATAATCCTATATTACTGAAGATTATACACACACATATACACCCACACACAATTTATACTACAATCAATTTTAAATAAAATTTTGAAAATTGTTTATTAACGCGGCATTTTAATTGTTCCAAAAATTTCAAATACAAAGTTTATATTATATTTCATTATTATAATTATTATAATTAATTATAAATATATATATTTAATTTTTTGTAAGTTCTAGTCTATCAACAAATTTTCATAAATAGTACAAATGCAATGTTGCATCTGAAATGTTTAGAAATATAATAAATATAATAATAAAAATATAATACGTGTAATGTAAATGTAATATTACTTTTATCGTGTATTAGAAATATTTCTAAATCATTGCATCTGCAATATTTCTTCTGAAATATTATAGATATTAACTTTGCAATTAAATTTGCAATTCAATTTTTCATTATCTACACAACCTTTCAGAAAATTTTCAGAAATATTTTAATTGCAATGTTGCGTTTGACATGTTACAGAAATATTATTTGCACAAAGTAAGTGTAATATTACTTTTATAATGCTTCAGAAATATATATGAAATATTACGCCTGCGACATTTCTTTTGCAATACTATAGAAACATGTTAATATGAACGCTAACTTTTTTATTTTTCTTCAAAATTTCAGAAATATTGCGATTGCAATGTTACAAAACACATGATGCAGGCACTTCGTTGAAATACTTCAGATACAAAGTTACAGTTGAAATATTTATGAAATATTTCTGTATCATTACAGTTTTTCAACAATATTACATGCCGAGTGGGCAACTTAAATATACACGCAAGTGAATCCCAAATATCAGCAGAATATCAGTCGAATATATCAACACATGATTTGGTAAACAATAATAATGCGTGCAATGAGTCTTACTTTAATAAAATTCCTCATTCATCTACTCCAGATAATTGTAGTATGTATCTTTTTGGAAAGTTCCAATTTATTTTAGTTAGTAGATTACATAAAATTTTTAGTTAGTTAGTAGACTATATAAAAACTTAATATTTTTGTCTTCAAATAATACTAAATACTTTAAAGAAATTATTCGCCAGCAAAGTTTTTTTAAAACTCAGTTATGGCAGATGGCAGACGATTTGAAAGAAATTAAAGATGCTGTAATAAGTAATATTCAGATGATACAAGATACGAATGGCAACCAGCAGCAAGGAGCAAGATCAATTTATTCTTCTTTTGATCTTCTATTAAAAACCATTCAAGATTTGGAAGAAGCTGTGGAACAATTTTTACACATTCAAAATAATTTTGATCGCTCGGTAATATTTATACTCTATGCAATCGTAAAATCTTTTCATCTTTTGTGATATACGAATTGAATATTGTAATGAAATATATATATGATTTGTTGCAGTGTACAGAAGCATGTGTAATAGGAGGTACATCTGCTTATAATTTTATAAAACGAAATATGGATAGATTGATTACCCATACGGCACAGCACCGTTGCAGCAACATTGCAGCAATGTTGTTTTGCAAGATTGCAACATTGCAGAAACGATGCGAAATGTTACTGCAATGTTGCTGCAGTCTTGCAGCAAAGGTAAAATGTCCGCTTGCAGCAATATTGCAATGAAATATTGTAGTAACATTGCAGTGTAACATTGCAGCAACATTTGTAATATAATTTGTATGCAATAATGCTTTATATATATATATATATATATATATATATCTATATATATCTACACTTTTATTTTATTATTATTTACTAAATATAGAAAACTATGTTTTTATATCAAATTTGCATGGTTTTTCATGATAAATAATCCTATATTACTGAAGATTATACACACACATATACACCCACACACAATTTATACTACAATCAATTTTAAATAAAATTTTGAACCCAATCTATCTCCAACTTTCGTCTGCATGAAGCTTTCAAACATCCTGTATATATATATATATATATATATATATACAGGATGTTTGAAAGCTTCATGCAGACGAAAGTTGGAGATAGATTGGGTGTAGCCGAGAAGAAAAGTCATGTACCATAATGTCAAATTGGCAATAGTTACCGAGTTAATAATTAAAACATGTGAGCCAACGAGCGCGCAGAGAGCGGAGGGCGGCCGCAGTAAGCACGTAGACATTTGATACAGGCGGAGTCAGCGAGTAATGGTAGGCGAGCGCGCGCGGCGAGGGACGACGTAAGCGACAAGAGGCGAGCACGCGCGACGAGGAGCGAGCGAGCGCAAGCGACAAGAGGCGAGCACGAACGACGAGGAGCGAGCGAACTTTTTTTTTATAGCTTTTGCTTTATAGCTCGCTCGCTCTTCATCGCGCTCGTTCGCCTCTTGTCGCTTGCGCTCGCTCGCTCCTCGTCGTTCGTGCTCGCTCGCTCCTCGTCGCGCACGCTCGCCTCTCGTCGTTTACGTTGTCCCTCGCCGCGCGCGCTCGCCTACCGTTACTCGCTGACTCCGCCTGTATCAAATGTCTACGTGCTTACTGCGGCCGCCTTCCGCTCTCTACGCGCTCGTTGGCTCACATATTTTAATTAATAATTCGGTAACTATTGCCAATTTGACATTATGGTACATGACTTTTCTTCTCGGCTACACCCGATCTATCTCCAACTTTCGTCTGCATGATAAGCTTTCAAACACCCTGTATATATGTAAGACAAATAATTTTTGCATAAGACGAATATAATTTTTTTGCTTATCCTTTGCGATTTCGTTCTTTTTTTTCCTCCTCTTTCTCCCCCTCCCCTGTCAAATAAGCGCCATCGGCCTATTATTGTGAATACTTACTCTAAAATACATAAGTGTAATATAGATACTGAACCAATTATCGTTTCCAATACCTAATAATTTCTATCGTGTGAGGTGTGGATATTTCATATAAAAATTCGCGATGAGCGTTCGGAGCGTTAGAAAACAATAGCGATCTCGGTGAGGCTAATGGTGGGGGAAAACAGAGTTTACGTTTGGAAAACAGAGACGCGGATGACAAGAACAATGTCACTGACGAGTGAGTCAGTCACTGCTGGACGTCCAAGGTGAGCGTGCCGTCGTCGCTCGTGTGGAAAATTGGTGAGTGTTAGCCAAATTGCTGTTTCCTGGTGGTCGGCGGCTGACCGGGGGCGCGAGCGTTGTTCTCTTGCACGGTCGATTGATGTCTCTCGAATCCGAGTGTCGGTGTCGTTGTGCGTTTTCCCTTCGACACCGATCCAATTCGGGTGTCTCCTGGGTCGCCGGACTGGGCCCGCCGTGCGTTTTCCCGGAGCGCCCGGTGTGATCCGGATGATCTAAAGCCAGTAGCTGAGAGGGACATCTCGTGCGTTTTCCCTTGATGTCCATTGTACCTCTCAGTGCTGGATGGTGAGTCTTAAGCTGGAGTGCGCTGGTGATCTCCTCGTGCGCTTTCCCTTGGAGATCTCCAGCTGCCTGCCAGCGTTTCGAGTGTGCGCATTCCCGCTCGAACCGCCGTTTTGATCAACCGTCACATGAGGTAATTGCGTTAGGGCTTGACCCGAAGGTGACCTAGCCCTTTGGCGCGTCGCCGTATTCCGCTCGACCCTCGCCGGCGGGCGTCTGAACCAAGTTATCGCCCCGCGATCTGTTTTTGTGTTTACTATTTCGAGTTGCTCGACTATTCACCCGGTTCGAGGATTAGAATAATTAGACAGGAGCGGGACAAAGCAGGTGGCACGGGTCTCGCCTCCATACTATACATTAATAGTCCGTCAAACTCTTACATATATATGTATATATACACAGGGTGTTTGATAGCTGATCATACAGACGAAAGATGGAGATAGATTGGGTGTAGCCGAGAAGAAAAGTCATGTACCATAATGTCAAATTGACAATAGTTATTAATTAACGCGAGCGCGAACGACGAGGAGCGAGCGAACGCGAACGACGAGGAGCGAGCGAGCGCAAGCGACAAGAGGCGAGCGAGCGCGACGAAGAGCGAGCGAGCGCGAACGACGAGGAGCGAGCGAGCTATAAGGAAAAAGCTATAAAGAAAAAGCTCGTTCGCTCCTCATCGCGCGCGATCGTCTTTTGTCGCTTACGTTGCCCCTCGCCGCGCGCGCTTGCCTACCGACACTCACTGACTCCGCCTGTATCAAATGTCTACGTGCTTACTGCGGCCATCCTCCGTTCTTTACGCGCTCGTTGGCTCACATGTTTTAATTAATAACTCGATGACTATTGCCAATTTGACATTATGGTACATAACTTTTCTTCTCGGCTACACCCAATCTATCTCCAACTTTCGTCTGCATGATCAGCTATCAAACACCCTATATATTGTTACGTCTCACCTCCTATTTTTCCCCCCCTTTTTCTTATTTCTTTTTTATCCTTATCGAGCGGTACATCTTGCAATCTAAACTTCCGGTTCTCCCCTCCTTCGTTCGATATGGACTAGGATTATATTGTATTGACATTCGTAACGGCGAATTGTGACTAGCATTTTATTTTAAGTTACATGCTTTAATGCCTTTTACTATTCCTTTGTATATGGAAAACCTTGTGTTAAATTTCCGACACCGGCGTGTGTTAATTTGATATATCGATTTTGGATGACACATTTTATGTGCCATCCATTATGAATTGTGTTACTCTTTTCTGTTTTCTTTCTTTTCGGCACTTCTGTTCTATGTTAATTTGACACGTCGTTTTCTACAGCGCGCGTATGCTTTATCATTGCTTACGTAGTCTCAAGAATAACAGCCCGGTTGCGCGAGGGCTTGGCTATTATTTCTTACTATTATTCCAAATTATTTTTATCATAGCGGACAGACTATGCAGTTTCCCCATCT